ACCCAGCTGTGGCGCCAAGAGAGATGTTTATTGTCTGTTTGGATAACATTCTGTATAAATGTGTGTATTTGAAACTGCCTCATGGCGCACATTTTGTACCACTGCCCAGTGTGACATGGTGTGTGTCTGCAATTGCAATAAAAACTCAGCTGACCATTCACGGAGTACTTTTCATTCTTGGACCACGTGTGTCTGTCTTGGGTAAATAAAGATTTCCACGACACCACCCTGCCTATCAAAGGTCCCCACACACCTACCTCTGAAAGTTTCGTTGATTTCGGATGTGGAGCGGCTGGAGATTGTAGCAACAGGATAAGTGGCTTGATCTAGCATTCCTCTACCCATCCCCACTGGCATTAGTAAGATTAGCACTCCACTAACCACCCCACTCGCCAGGCCAGTAATGTGGGGGAAACACTGCATATTATGCCATGTAAGAAATATGCATGTGATGAACAAAATTTATCTTATCTTTTATTGCATCTGATAGCATCTATATATGATTCATGTACAATGACAAACAGATTCTGATGTGTGTGAGACAGTGAAATACCTCTTCCTGAGGACTCAGCAGAACTCCTTTGAGCCTTTTAAAATAAAGGCTTGTRTAGGTCTGTGCATCTCGAGATCGTTGCAAAGCAAAACTCCAGGTGCCTCGTTGTCGCTGTTCTCTTATTTCTTTCAGATTAGCCTGAATGGCAAATATCCACCACATCCGACAGCTAATGAAAAACAATGATAAGAAATCAAAGCCACTCAATTTAAGGCAGTTGTGCTGGAGTGAGTGATGCCTTTCAGAGATTAGTACCAAAGACTTCAACTACTATGAGATTTTTTGTTACCTTGACAGAGTCATTTTCATGTGAAGAAAAAGTTTAATAAAATGTGGTCTGCTTGCACTCTCACAAAAGAATAGTCACCAAAGTGTTACTTACTTCCCTGAAATTGGTACTTCGGGTCTCAAATTTTTGTATAACATCCTTTTCTCCCTGCGATCCAGTTCTTTAAGAAAAGCCATTATTTGCTGGTACTGAACCTAAAAGAAAAAAAAACATTAAATTTGTGGTCATTCTAAAAATCTCTATTGTCAAAAGTGCTAAAACCAAAAAGTGGAGATAGTTATTGCACCATTGAAAAGTCTCATTTACCCTACCACAGCAAAATCCTTCTGTTTTTACTTTGTAATAAAGAAAAACATGTAATACAAATGTATCCCCACACCATCTCTGCCTGCTTTGTACCCACCTTGGCAGCCATCCCTATGTTTGTAATCTATTCTGCAGGAGTAATCTTTATAAATGAATACARATTTGGTTTTTCAGTATCCATTTTTTATCATTAATGTGGTTTTAGACCTGCACATGCACCTCTGATTATTTCTGTCAGAGGAGAGGTGCAGGTGTCAAGATATAGCTTTAACGCTCTTGAGACAGTTTTAAGACACAGAAAAACTTTGTGACCATTTTTAATTAAAAGATGTTGCACAAATTTTTGACAAAGTTTAGACTCAGGTAACAATCTCCCATGGCTTTCACAAAAAAATTGAGAAGCCTGCAAATATTGCAAGACATATTGGAGCATAAACATAAAAGTTTGAAGGTTTTTCAGWCAATTTCATAAAACATTGGATGAAAAATTTGCCATCAAAGGTTTTATTAGTTTAATTAAAGAGCACAGGCATGCTTTGTCGTCAGGACTAGAACTATTTAGATATCTTTCTACATTAGTGGACCTATGAATAAAGAAGAGCAACTTGTTTTTTTTTTTTTTACAAACCTGGGAAAGGCGTAAAGACATGGGCTCCAGCTGGACCTGGCCTTCGATTCGAGGGGGGTTTCGAGACCTCAGAGGCTCCTTAGAAGTGTTTCTCTTCAGAAGCACAGATGCACCAACTGGTTCAAAAATGTACTGATGATCACGACTCTTCATACACTCTGTCATYGCATCCTGTACAGCCAAAAGACAGACTAATGAACCAAATGCAATTAATCTGAACCAATAATACCTT